TCTCGACTGCGCGCTGCACACGGACATGTCCGACATTGAGCAATATTACATGAAACCGCCAGGTGAGTACGAATTCCCCGGAGGGAGCCTTCCGCCAGCCCTGCTCAGGGAACATGGCTGCTCCCTGCTGCTGGCGCCTTTTCCTCCTGTCAGCAGCACTGAGCAAGCTCCAAAGTTGCCAGAATGCAGCTCTTCAGCCATACCAGGCACAAAGCCGACTCTGGGGTGGGGTGGGGTGTTTTTTTCCCCTTCCCCCCCAAGATGTCTAGTCATCCAAGGCAGCCTCTGTCTGCCCCCTGAGCACAGCAGTGCTGGGTTCCACGGCCGGTCCAGGGACAGGGGTGCTGGGTGCCGCTGGGGCTGGATGATGCAGGCTATTTGCTGCAGGCTAGGTCCACCCCAGCCCTTGTTCCTTGAGCTCCTTGCTGTTGGTGTTGGCTTCGAGAGCGGGAGGACAGGGAGATGAAAGGCCTTTTAGCCCAAAGGCATAGAGGAACACATTTTAGCTATTGCACCCGTTTTCCCGTGTTGTTCAAGAACATTCCTTAATGCAAGTGTTTGGACGAGGCACAGATCAGGTATGTAAAGGGATGCTGCCTGGGTGTGACATAATCTGTGTTCATCCTTGTTACATGTGTAATTACAAATACAGTACCTAATATTATGAAGCTGTGAAAGATCTCTTATGTCATTATTTTTAAAAAACCCCTTTAAAACTTGTCGGGTGCTGTTTCCCTTTTTGTAGTCGTACATCCATGTTGAGGACCAGAGCAAGGGGATGTCTGGGCAATTACTTGGGTTTTGAGGTTTGGTTTTGGTGGTGTGCCGTGGTGAGCTGGGAGAGCAAGGTGATGACGGCATCCCACCTTGGTTCCATCTTCCTGGGGTACCTAGTCTGTTGTTTTTCTACGTGACATGTTTTTGCTGTATCGTTGCTGTTGCCCAGATGTGATGGATCTCTTCCTGGGCACTTCTAAAGGACCATAGGAAGTACCATAGCCACAAACTTCCTTCACTTCTGATGTGAAATGTTATGTTTTTCTAAAACTGTGCTTCTCCTCCAATAAAAATCCCCAAATATCTCAGATGTGCTTGCTCTAGATGTCGTTTCCCACCACAGTGTGTATCTTCTGTAGATTTTGTCCTATCTTATGCACAGGTTGTGTTTCATTTGCAGTGATTGTTTTTGGAAAAATGAAGTGGCGTGTGACTTATATTTAAAAAGCTCAATCTTCATTGAAGGTGGTGTCACAAAACCAAAAGGTCTCACAGCAGAATGTTTCTGAACCTCTGTAGCCAGACTGAACAAAGCATTGTGCTGGAGAAAGTAGTAGGGGACTCCAGTAGAAAAAGAACATGTAATAGGGGGTTAATAGGTGTTTGAGTTCTGTCGCTCATTAATGCCTGGGACTTGTACGGTCACGATTCAGGGCATGGATCAAAGTGCCTGTATTTCTAACACCAGCCTATATGGAAAATAAAGGGAAGGGACTCGAAGAGGAAGGAATGCCCTCAATTTGTTTAGGGTCAGTAATGTAATCCTGTTCAGCTGTGTTGCCAGTATGTCTTTGCAATGCGAGCACTGCTTTTGTTTGGTACCAAAAAGGGCTGATTTCAATTTTAGAGCTTTAATTTTTGGTGGAATTTAATAATTTATAATTAGGCTTCTGCCATGCCATAAAAAAAGCACATTTATTTGGTTGAAGGTTCTTGATGATCATGGTGTTAAGCAACTTGGCTGGGGTTGTAATTAGGTGAAGCCCAAAGAGGCTTTGGGGACTGGGGAGGAGAAGGACGTCTGTGGGTTGCGACTGGCACCACCAGTGATACCTGTCCACGTGCCATGAAGCTGCGTGGTGCTATTTGGTGTAGCTGTGCAGTCTTTTGCTCCTGTTTCCCTCCAAAATACAGTTGCTGGATTTCTTCCCTAGAAGGCAGCAGTATAAATAGAGTCGTCTTGGAAAAGGCTGGAGATGTGTGTGTTTTGGAGGCCGTCTTCATGAACTGCCTTGTCTGTCTGAACTTAGATAAAGGCAGCGATGTGCCGCCCATCCCACCCAAAGGACATAAAAATGACAACAAAATAACTTCCAGCCCCAAATTGGTAATTTATTCCGCTAGTTTACAAATTAGCACATAGGCAGAAATCATTGCAGTGGGAATGAAAAGGGCTCGTTTTCCTGCATATTGCTCCAGCTCAGATGTTGGTGAAAGCTTTCTCGGTGAGGTGTTAGGAAAGAAATGGTCACGGTGAGGGTCATCGGGTACAGGGGCCCAGAGGGGCTGGTGATGCTCAGAGCTCAACTTAGACAAGTTAAAAACCCCAACCTGATCTAAGTGCGGGCTGGCCTGGCTTTGGCTGGGAGTATGACCAGGCAACTTCTTGCTCCTTCTTTGCAGAATCCCTGTCCACCTGCTTGAATACTCTTTTTCTTCCAAGATGGAAAACAGGGGAAAGGAGCATTTTGTGGGTTTGTGAATTCTTGTGTCTTAGGTGACGAGTGCAACGGTAGAACTGGGATGTGGTCTTAAGGTCTCAGATCATCATGTAGGTCATGGCTTTGCAGAGGTTTTGGTCTTGGCATCCATGGTACCCAGGCACGAAAACCTGTTGTTGGCAGGGCGCTCCTTGTGGTATCCAGGGTTGGGGTACTGTTGTACAGAGTATCTACAGCAAATAGCCTCTGGTAAGGCAAGCATCTACTGTGAGGGAATATTTTAAATATTAGAGTGGGTCATTCTTGTTGGTTTTACCAAAGCTTCTGCAAAAACTGTGGGTTGGTTTTGAAACGGAACCAAAAGGACCTGTCTGCAATGAGATGGCTGTAAGCACCCGGCCTAGTGATTAACGTTGAACAGTCCCATGAGTTACATCGCATTAGGGTTTTTCTTCTGCAGTTTTTCTGAAAGCTCGCCTCCAGTTATTGTTTCAAATTTCCTCCGCTGGGTTTTGTATGAACTGAAAAATATGTGCTGACAGTGATTTCGCAGAAGTACGCTAGCCAAAATTTAAATCTTTATTTTCTTTTGCCCTCCTACACTTGCGCCAAGGATCTGGCAGAACATTTGGGCCAGCACTTAACTTCGAGCTTGTACGCAGTGGGGTGACTTGAAATTGCCGTCGATTTGAAAGGAATTGTTTGTGTTGAGACCTGTGCCACGGTCTTAAAACAGAAGATTGAATGGTTCAAACACCTTCCTGAGCACTTGGTAAACTTGCATTTTTCATTTAAAAATAGAGCTTACTGGAATTTTCTTTTTTTTTTTTTTGCTTTTTTTTCTTTATATGAAAAAAGGCATCCGGGCGTTGGAAAAGGAAGGAGTTGTATAATGGGCTTAATTGTCAACCAGAGTAACTTAGGCTCTAGTAAACAAACAAAAAAAAAAATTAATTTTAAATAGAGCCCTGCCTCTTGCATTTCTCTACGCAAATAAGAGGAGCACAGCTGGAGCTTCTTTTATATTTTGATGGTTTTGACGACTAATCAGTTTTACAGTGTCTCTTCAAGCTTCTGTCCCGGTTGGTTGTGTTGTATGTTTTCTGCTGTGGTTGGTGTGTTAGAGAGATTCTTGAGTGGCTGAGGTCTCCGCTGGAGAGCTGATGGAAACCAGGACTCCCTGCCTCTGCTGCAAAACTGCCGCTCTCCCAAAACGAGCAGAGCCAGGGCTTTGGCTGACGAGCTAGGATGTCTTCCTGCGGTGAAGTGGGATCTCCTGCAGTGGGCTGTCCTAGCAGGGTCTGCTGAGGGGCGTGCAGATGTGTCAGGGGGGCACAAAGACCTGGTGAGGGTGGGAGGTGGCCTTTGCCGGTGGCTTTTGGTGCCGTCGCCAAGCTGGGTGGCTGCATTGCGATGCCCAGCGCTGCAGGGCAGCACAGACGGGCAGGCTGGGTAGCTGGGGCTGCTGGACCTGGAGTCTTGAGGGCATCTGCTTTGCGTAACACAGCAGAGGAAGCCCAAGTGGTTGCTGCAGGAGGTGTCGGGTCACATTAGGCACGCCAGGCTGAGAGCTGTGGTTTTTGGCAGTGGCCGCACATCTGCAGCTCTTGAGCTCTGGTGCCTTGTGCTGGGAGGGGGACTTGCACCTCTGCTCTCTGGCCTCTGCCAAGGGGTGAGCAGAGCCTCCCTGTCCCACTGCCCTTTGTCCCCTGGACCTTGAGGGTGCGGATGAAGAACTTGCGTTGATATCCCAGCCTCCCTGGGGGACAGGGCAGGACTGTGCCCTGAGGAAGAGGGGCTACAAGGGGATGGCTTGATTTCTGTCACTCTTGGGTGACACATTTCTTAGCTGAGCCCAAAGGAGGGATGTGCTGCCCTTCTCAGAGATTTGGACACCAGTTGAGGTGGGGCCAGAGCTGGGTTGCGGGATGGTGAGATCCTGTTTGCCACTTGTCCCTTTTGAGGTGTATCTTGCCTTTGGTGGAACATTTGTCTGGGAGTTGTGCTCTGGGATTGGGGTCCCTTTGCAGTGAGTTTGATGTGGGACAGAGCTGACACCAGAGGATTTGAACCTGGGTGTTTGCAAGGAGGTGAGCAGCTGGATGTGAAATTGTGTGGTTCCTGCTAACCCCACTCAGCAGGTGCTGAGCCTCCGGGGTGCCTCGGGGTTGTTTTGCCAAAATACAGGGTCTGCCCTGGGAGGAGATCCTCAGCCTGGGAGCTGCAGTTGCTCTGCCGTGCCCAGACCCTTTGCAAGCCAAGGGTGGGGGTGGGTGTAGGGAGGGTTTCTCCCCACCACAAAGCCCCTGGGTGGAGGGGTGGCCATGGAGCCCAGTTCTTCCACATTCTGAGTAATGCTCAAGCTCCCAGATAAGCAGGATCGCTGCTGCCCACTGATAACATTGTTTGGAAAGAATAGAGCAGCTCCCGCTTTGCAAAGAAAGGGCTTAGTTACCTGATGCCGGAGAGGGCTCAGGGCTGCTGCTTCCCAGTGGAGGAATGCGTTTTCAGAGAGCCCTGCCCTGCTCTAGGTGCCCAGAGGGAGCTGGAATCTGAAGCATCCCTGTCTTCGGCATTTCTCGCTTACGCAGTGGCCTGACCTCACGTATCTGCCCAAGCCCCGA